GATGGTAACTTGCCGAAATTTCATAGATATACGCTAGTTTGTAATATTACGAATCTATCAAATTTTGGTGTGTTCAGATATGTCCAAAAATATGTATTTCGAGATGATGGGGTCAAAATTAGGTGTAATTTGTTCTAGATACACTATATCCAATCATCCATTTCGTTCGCCACTCTCATATCTTGCTCACATATCTGGTATCATAGATACATGCTATTCACATCGGATACATATATGTAATGTGATTCGTATGTATCTGAGATTTATAGACAAATCTTGTTCGCCTCCCTCTCATCTCACTCGTCACTCTCATATCTCACTTGTGTGTGTATCTAGTGTGTTTCCCATGTATTTAACGTGAAATCTGATATGAAATTATTAAATAGTGAAATAAAATGTAATCATTTTAAACTATACGGAGAATTTGACTTTACGGTATGCCAAAATGATAATGTGGTATGTCATGTCACCTACTAATTAAACTTTCGAATTTCTCAAATGATCATCCAATTTATAGTTATATTTTTCAAAGTCTTTCTTTATTTCTTAATAACCTCCATGTTAAGTCAAAATTATTTATTGGACAAATATTTTCTTTAACCAAAAATATATTTTTTATACGTAAACTATTCTCCTATTTACCCTGTAAACTTACTCAAGAGGAGTAATATTTAGTTGATAAAATACGTTTTACTATTAAACCGAATAAAAGGTAGATTTCTTTTAGGAAATAAAGGGGTCAAAATTGGTGTAACAAAAAAATAAGTAGCATATATGGAAAATCCCTTGAAGAAACCGTCTATGCACTCCTAGTCCTATTTAGTGTAGAAAAAGTAAAGGTTAATAATTTGTAAAGGGTAAAGGTTTATTTTTAAATATCTTTTAGGAAATGGAAAGGAAGTTCCTAAAATTTCATATAGGGTTTATTTCCAAATATGTTCCTAAAATTTCCTATGAGATTTATTTCCAAATATGTTCCTAAAATTTCCTATAAGGTTTATTTCCAAATATGTTCCTAAAATTTCCTATATAAGGGAGCTTTGAGTCATGTTTGATTAAACAAACAAAGAAACAAAAAAGTGAGAGCTTAGAAGAGTGTTGAGAGAATGGATGATATCGAAGAAGTATTCATGAAATGGAATTACATCGACAAGAAGCCTTATGAAATATGCCACATGATTGAAGAGGCTATCCTAGTTGCTGGAATCAAATATCCTCATCAATTTGACAAGCGCAAAAAACAGGATAATCAGGATGATATCCAACCCCAGTACCTTCGATGACGATGATGATGATGATGATGATGAAGATGACGACACTAGTACTCTTGAGGAAGAAGACTGTGTCGTTGGTGATGAAGATGAAGTGACCAATGCTGAGGAAGAAACACAGCAGAGCCAGAAGCAGATTACAAAGCCACTCAAAATTAGAATAACTTACTCGAAAACTGTTCAAGTTGCTCCTCTGGAAAACCACAACAATTGCAATGCAATTACTCAAGAGTTGAAGAAAACACCCGAGACGCATGACTTGGATGGTCATAAAGGAGGAACACAACAACAGTCTCATAATACTACTACTATGGGATCAACAAAGAGGATGTCCACCAAACATGTACAAGTTGCTCCTCCTCGTGTAAAACTTCTTTCTGATTTTTCTTTCGAAAAGGAGCTTGATGGACACAAACAACTAAAGAAACAGAGTCACAAAGGTTTCAAGAAGATGGAGACTGACCGGATTCAACACAAAAGAATTGATAGTGACGCAGAAAAGAAGACCCCTACCCAATGCAGAACGGAATCAACAGCAAGAAAGCAGTGCACCAGTGGTTTAACCAAGACCATGCCAGCGTCATTGAAGAAGATGAATGTGGCAACCGAGCGAGTACAAGCCCCTCCTCATCAACAGAGCAACTGCAGTGCAATTACAAGATCAATACATAGCTCTGCACCAATGCAAAAAGAAACACAAAGCATCAACGAAATAAAGAAATTTGAATCAAGTAAGAGGAAATTTGAGGAAAGGTTAGCAGAGCAAAAGACAGCCAAGAGACGGATCGTACTGGTTGACTACCACGATATGCCTAAACTTGCTAATGACCCTCCTGCTACTAGACACTGCTGGAATAGGAATAGGAAGAGGTTTTGATATTCTGATGATTCAATATATGTTGTAATAACTACATGATTACTATTTTTTTATTTGAAGTAATATAGAATTTCGTTATATGTTTTTATCATCTTAGTCCAACTCTTAGTTTACTCATACTTTCCTTACACTAGTGTATGCAATCAGGATGCTATTTATCTCTCTAGTCTCACTAACTGTTAACCTACATAATCCTGACATGATCTTATCTGAGTCTTAGTTCTTTTTTATGATTCTGAATTCATTATTGTATAGTATCATCTTACATGAACTCTTGATTTAGTGTACACGTTCCTTACACTGGTACTTAAGCAATCAGGATGGAATTTGAGTCTTTGGTCGCACCATCAGCTAACCTACCTGAGTTTAAAAGTTCCAATCTTTAAAATACAGAAAGCTACTTAATTGACAAATCTTTTAAATACATACCAGACATTCAGAAGATACTGATATCAACACATAGAAGTCTAGGTAAGGTTGAGAATCTTGAAGATTTGTAGCAAGTATATGACTGTACACTACTTATCCCAACAGATTAATTTGACTGGTTCCATCACTTTGTTGACACATTCAGAACAAAGTCTTACCTTCTTCAGTTGCGAAAGTATTAATAATGAGAACCAACCGCTGATGAAACCATTTGCAATCTACACATAAGCTGAGTACTTCAAGTCGAGCCTTAAGCTTAAAAAACAAAAACTCTCCCAGGTAACACCGACCAACAATCTGAGGTAAGACAAGAGAATGGCTTATTCAACACCTTAAAGAACAATAGAGTCCTCTTTTCCAAACATAACTTAATTTTTCGGAGTATCACAGTCAGTCTAAGAATCTGTCCACAATCTCTCTAGCAGTCTGGTGTTCTCAAGTATACTTCAGCATATATAATGACTTTTGGCCAAAAAAATATGCAATTAGGAAGCTTGTACGAGGTCTAGTTTAGCACAAAAAGTCGATAACCATTGATATTGAGTGAAATACTGAAAAAATACACTAGCATTTAGATAACAAAGATAATATTCAGTTTCAGACAACTAATAAAAGGGAACACAGCTCAGTTTGTAAAATACCAATGCCACAAAGTGAAGACTTTGTGAGCCAATGTTGAATTAAAAGTGCCTCAAATCTTGGCAGAAAGTAATGGAATTCCATTTTCCTACTCCTACATAAACAAAAGTCCATTTTGTTATCAGGATTTTTTCGACCATAACAAATGTCAAGTAGTTCTTTGTGATAGTGTTCTGGGATCTAGATACATTTATTCCTCCCCAAAATACATGGCAACAGCAAGCACTGAATAAGTACCATAAATGGAAATTCTTCATACCCAAATATCAGAAGGTAAAAGTAAGAAAAATTTACACCATTTCAAAAAGAAAGATACGTAAATTCCCCAATTCTAGATAGAGTAGCTTTATGTATGTGTAACCAAAGACTCATCACAAAAGTGTTTCAGTCTTCAATTGTTGGCAAATTTATATATACAGTCAAGACATTCAATTTTGAGTAATACAAACTAGTGGTTTCACTAATTATATGTCAAATGTTAATAAACAAGCCGTTTGCGTATACTTCTATGAAACGAGTCATCAGATGTACACTAGTTAATCAATTCTTCCACAGATCAATTCAGATTGGCATTCTCATCAATTAGATCACTGTACATAATGGCAAACATCAGTTCACACACAAGTTCAGGACAGGAATCAGTTCTCTAGCAAAAGTTGAATATTGATCCAATAACCAAGTCACAAAGTAACATCAAGCAAAAGTACTATACTAAACAAAAAGTGAAATTACATAGCAAGAAAGTCATTTCAGAAATCTTTTAGATGACTCGCCAAAACAAAAGCAGGTCTACTTCAGCATACTTCTCTCACCATAATACGATATAATATCATGAAGCCACGCAAGACTTAAACTTAGATAAGCATAGTACTGAATTAGCCCAAAGCAATCTAGTATTCAAAAGCCATACAAATTCAAAACTTACCTAAAACTTGCCGGAGTTGAGGAACCTCATAATAGACCAATCTCAGCTTAAATACAACAGCAACAGCACCCCAGCTCATTTTGCCCGAAGCTAAACTCAAACAGACAATTCATTAAATTACTACCAGGTCAAATGCAGTATAAGTTCAACCCATAACATTGGATAATGATAAATTTCTTAATTAGCAAAAATAAGTCACCATAGCTACTAACAATAATTCAACAAGCAATGCTTCAAACTTCAATGAATGGGAAATAACACACAGATGTAATAGCAATATCTTTGATTGAACAAAACAGAGTACATATTTCATTACCAATATTCCAGAATTCTAGTAAACCACCAGTTTACACATACTACAACTGAAAACATCTATTAAATGTACACTACTAAGCCTAGCATTCCAACAACAGATCAAAGCAAAACCATTGAACACAAATTGTCTTTAAACCCTAAAAAGTTTATTCTTAAGCCCTTTCTCCACGAATCCTCCTAGCAAGCTGATTATCCTTAGGCATAATCGTGACCCTCTTAGCATGAATTGCACAGAGATTAGTATCTTCGAAGAGGCCAACAGCCCTTTCTCCACGAATCCTCCTAGCAAGCTGATTATCCTTAGGCATAATCGTGACCCTCTTAGCATGAATTGCACAGAGATTAGTATCTTCGAAGAGGCCAACTGTTGGATATTTTAAAATAATTTAAGACATATTTTGGACACTATTAATTTGTGACATAAGCACTTATGTCAAGTTGATGACTAATGTGCTTATGCCATCAACTTAATCTCCAAGTATTAATCTACTTTGTCCCCAAGTTTAACTCCTTTGTCTCCAAGTAATTCTCCCTTTGCCTCCAAGTTATATGGTGTAATATGTTCTCCTCCACTGCCTATGCTCCTCTATATATAGTAGTTGATGGAGTTTTGAGGAGGAACAACCCAAGTGAAGAGTAAGACTTGGCCAATTTCAAATATCCCCTTCCGACTTGCTTTCTTTAGTAGTATTTATCCTAATTTTTGTATTATTATTTTGATATTATAATTTTCCCATCTATATATATTTTCCAACAATCTAAGAAACTATGGCATATAATATGTGTCCTGAAACTATTGATGATACTGATGTTGGTGCTACCCTGACTGGACTGTTCAAGTCATTCTGCCGGAGGCTTACGGTAAAGAAAATTACAGGTATGTAAATATACATGGTTACAAGTCCAATGCTAAAAATAAAACCTTCATAATAAAAAAAAATATACACCTCAATGCAAAAGAATATCGAAAAGAAATGACAATCCCGCTAAGCTAAAAATAAATTTAGTTGAAACAGATGATATGATTATTGCGGTCATTTAGGAAATAAATGTTATGGCCAATGTGAGAAACTGGGTGATAGACTCTGGTGCTACTAGGCACATTTGTATAAACAAAATTGATTTTGTGCCATACACCCAAGTTGAAAAAGGAGAAGAAATTGTCTATTTCTTTATTGCATGCTAGATTATAACATGTTAAATGTCTCATATATAAATAATATGTAATTTCTTAATTTAATATTTGATTTGGATTCAAATATTTTGATACATGTGAAATATTTAAAAGTGTGGAGGTGCCTGACTAATGTTCTGTTGCCTGAACCTGAGAAGAGAAAAATAGGTTCTAAAATGTTAATTGCATGCTTATTGAATATGTTGAACATAGTGTTGCATATAGATTTATTATTTTAAATAGTGGCATGAAAATTAGATCAAGTATTATTGAGAAACAATTTTTCTTTTGTTGAAGTAGATAAATGTGTTTATGCAAAAATGGTAGACAATGATTATGTGATAATATGCTTATATTTGATGACAGGCTTATATTTGGTACAAGTTTAAATATTATGAAAACTATCAAATTATTTTTGTCTACTAATTCTGATACGAAAGATTTGGGTGAAGTAAATATGATTTTGGGAGTTAAAGTAATAAGGAGTGAAGATGGTATAATGTGGTCACAAGAAAATTATGTGAAAAGACTTCTTAAATTATTTTGAATCTTTTGATGTGACATAACCACTTCTTATGATGCTAACTCTCAATTATGGTGACCCAGTTACTCAGTCTAAATATGCTCAAATTATTGGAAGTGTATTGAATTTGATGAATTTTACTAGGCCTGATATTGCTTATGATGTGTGTAGATTGAGTAGATATACTCATAATCTCAATAATGAGCATTGACTTGCATTGAGTAGACTGATGAAATATTTGATAGGAACCATGAATTATGGTATCATGTATAGTGAATTTCCTTCTACATTAGAAGGGTATTGTGATGCAACTTGGATCTCTGATTCAGATGAAACAAAATTTGCTAGTGGATATGTGTTCACCTTAGGTGGTGGTGCAATATCCTAAAAATCAGCTAAATAGATGATTATTGCTAGATCGATTATGGAGTCAAAGTTTGTAGCTCTGGAGTTGGCTGGTTCTGAGGCTGAGTGGTTAAGAAATTTCTTAGCGAATATCCCTTTAATAAAGGATGAATTGTTGATCCCTTTGATGAAGGATGGATGTTGATCCCTTTAATGAAGGATGAATTACCAGATGATCCCTTTGATAAGAATGAATTGTCTCATGTGTTTATACACTGGGATTGTGAAGCCGCAATTGTTATTGCGAAGAATAAGTCTTACAATTGTAAGAGCAGACACATGAAATTGAGACATGATGTCGTTAAACAGTTGCTGAGAGATGAAGTAATTTCCATTGATTATGTGAAATCAAAACTGAATTGGGCCGATTCACTGACTAAACCCGTGGGAAGAAAATTAATTCTTCAATCCTCGAAAGAGATGGGGTTAATGCCAATATGATTGTCAATAGAGATGGTAACCCAACCATTGGAGATCCCATGAAGTAGGTTCATATGGATAATAACAAGTCGATATTGACACTGCGCACTAATAGAGAGTGCTTGAACTGCTACTAATTATGAGGGATGAGTTATTAACTCTTAATGAATTCATAGTCCTTGTGGATGGTGTATTTAAAGCAGTATACACTTGATGAATTCACCTATATGAGAAGTGGAGTGAAGCCGCTCCTATGAGATTTTGGCCTAGTCTCTAGAGCTCTCATGAATACCAGGCACGCGCATGGCTTATTGGCGCAAAACCGCGTTGAACAACAAAATATGAGGATTAAAATATGATTGGTAGAATCTCTAGCTTACAAAAGAATAATTGGTTCATAGAAATTTTATATTTCACCAATAATTCTGTAAGTTAAATTTTGTCGGTCTAAGTTTGGTTCATAGGCCGAAAGACACCAAACCTATAACATTTTGATCATACAAAATAAAGCAAGTCGAGTTCTTCTATTTCAAAATTATTTTAAAATATATGGGGGATTGTTGGATATTTTAAAATAATTTAAGACACATTTTGTGTTGGATATTTTAAAATAATTTAAGACATATTTTGGACACTATTAATTTGTGACATAAGCACTTATGTCATTAAGTTGATGACTAATGTGCTTATGCCATCAACTTAATCTCCAAGTATTAATCTACTTTGTCCCCAAATTTAACTCCTTTGTCTCCAAGTAATTCTCCATTTGCGTCCAAGTTATATGGTGTAATATGTTTTCCTCCACTGCCTATGCTCCTCTATATATAGTAGTTGATGGAGTTTTGAGGAGGAACAACCCAAGTGAAGAGTAAGACTTAGCCAATTTCAAATATATATCTCCTTCCGACATGCTTTATTTTGTAGTATTTATATTTTGTTGATTTCTGTGTCCTCTAATTTATTAGGGAAGACTTGTTTAATCCTGGGGAAACATTTCATACCGCTGAAATAGTTTCTTAGGACAGTGCCTGGCACGACTCAAGTATTATATAAATATATATGTACATATATATTATTTAAGAGTATTATTGTAGTAGTATTTATCCTAATTCTTATATTATTATTTTGATATTATAATTTCCCCATCTATATATATTTTCCAACACCAACAAGGTAAGCCTCAGCAACCTCTTGTAGAGCAGCAACAACACTACTCTGAAACCTCAGATCTGTCTTGAAATCCTGGGCAATTTCCCTCACGAGCCTTTGAAATGGAAGCTTCCTAATCAACAACTCCGTAGATTTCTGATACTTCCTGATTTCCCTCAAAGCCACAGTTCCTGGACGAAAACGGTGAGGCTTCTTCACTCCTCCAGTTGCCGGAGCTGACTTTCTTGTAGCCTTGGTAGCTAGTTGCTTCCTTGGTGCCTTTCCACCTGTGGATTGGCAAGTTGTTTGCTTAGTACGGGGCATTTGAAATAGTGGCGGATCCAGGATCTTAGGCTCGTGGGTGCTCAATTCCCTTATTATAAAGTTACTATAAATCACATTATATAACCATATAAGCGTACGACTATTTAAACATTATAGTTAAAAACTCTTCATTTCTTAAAAAACTAAGAAATGAAGTCCAAATTTTGCTAGCTTCTCTTACCAATTACAACTAATAATTCACTCTTGCAAGCACCCTCATTTATTTTATGTTAAAGAAATGAGCACTACCCAACCATTACAAAATTCATCACCTATACTAATACGAAGTTCATTTTTGATGTACTTCATGAACAAAAAAGCTCATTCCACAGAAACAGTAGCAACACGAAGAATGAGAGTCAACTTGATAAGCAAATAAACAAGTAGCCAAGTTTGATGCAAATTTGACTTCACCAATACTGTAGCAAAGTTGGTAATTCCCTTCAAGTTGAAGAACCTCTAGTCAGAATTACGAGCATAAACTATAAAATTATCAAGATGATAACTGAGATCTCGAAGCTTATTGCTATCAAACTCATTCATATTAAGCTCTTGAAGATGCAAATTAATAAAGACATAACAAATCTCAACGTGCAAATGATGAGAATATATAACATCAAGAGATTTACGCTTGGACTTTTCTGGAAAGTAGCTAACCATTCATGAAAATGTAACATCAAGAAATGCTAATTGTCGTTAAAAATACACATTTAGCAGTAATTAAGTTATTATCGTTAATTAATTATCACTAGAAATTATTTTTGTTTTGTATCTATACATATTGATACATAATTTGCAAATAAAATTTTAAAATGTTATATCAGATGTTGAACACCTACTGCTAACTCACGAGTCAGGCAAATCACTCTTTGGTAGGGGTGGGCAAAATCAATCCAAATATTTATGATCAGTCTAATTCATTTATGTTTGTATAAGTTAATAATTCGCTTATTTTATTATATGGACTCATTTGATCTGTTTATTTCATCTCATTTTAAATTGGGCTAATATAATGCAATTCAAATTGATTCATGAGAAATTGCAAATGTATTTTTTAAAACATTCAAATAAAATTTCTCATGAATCAATTTGAAATGTATTTTATTATGATATTATAAATAATAATTTATTTTATGTACAATAAAAATACATGATGTGAACGAGGGATATGTTTCTAAAGATTACTAAGGCTTCATTAATTAATTTAAAAGGTTGAGATCTAATTGTACGAAAAATGTTTAATTTATGAGGAAAAAAATTTGAGCTGCTGGCGAGATTCGATACCTCAACCTAGCTGCCCCCGCACACATGACTTTAAGATCCAGCCCTGAACCAAAGCACCCATCAGTGCTTTTGTTCAAATTTCAATGGGTGCTAATATCTATTATATATTCATTTTTGCAGATTTTCTATATAAATATACAAAAATTTTGTCGGGGTCAATGGGTGCTCGAGCACCCGGCACGCTCCACGTAGATCCGCCCCTGAATTTTGAAACTATGTATACATAGAAAACGTAGAGTTCTGAAATGGTGAATCTGAAAAATGGGTAATGGAGGTATTTATACTGAGAGATAGAGGGCGGGAAATTTTGGAAAAGTGTTTGAAATCCATTTGGCTGAATTTATTTTATATTCATAATAAATTGAGGATTTCATCATTGGCTAAAAGTATAGCGCTTGCAAATGTTTAAAGTATATAACAATATTTAATAAAAATATGTAGATAACAAGATATGTGAAGTGTCATGGTGATGTTGGTACGAAAATAAAAGAAAATGCTTGTATGTATAAAGAAAATGTACACATATTTGTAAGGAAAATAAAGGACATGTAGTAACAACGTAAATATTATTTATAAAGTATAAATACAATAAATAATATATGCACAAGTGTAAAGATAATATATAAAAAAGTAGAAACAATATATAAAAATGTAAAAAACTTTTTGGTCAATAAAGTGTATCCCTCTTTAATGAAAAGTTCCCCCCTCTTACGTACACAAATGTGTATACGAAATATGTAAAAAATATAATAATATAATATAAATATTTAAATGGTGTAAAATAAAATATGTGTGTTAAAGTGTTAGGAAGATATAGGGGTGTACCTAGATCGGTTTGGTTTGAGTTTTTATTAAAAAAAACCTAAATCAATTATGTCGATTTATTAAATCTAAAAACCAAATCAAAACCACATAAAGTCGGGTTTTTCGATTTCGACTTTAGTCGGTTCTTTCCGTTTTTTTTGGTTTTTCGGTTTTTTCGATTTTTTACAACTATACGGTGTTTGAAAACGAGATCAAATATATTTTCACTTACCTGTGTGATAAGCTAAACTTCAAAAATGTTAAACGAATAGAAATCTTCGAAAAGACGATAAAATTCACATGAGTACAATTTTTTTTTTTTGAAATATCAACGTTCAATATGTTAAATTAATAAGATCAAAGGCTACGATCAAACTGAATACAAAAAGAAATATTTACAAAGTAAATTGTTAACTACGAATTTGAAAAACTATAATAATATTATTGTAATTTCTGATCTTAGTACAAAATAAAATATTTACAAAGTTTTACAAGCCCAAATTTGAAATAATATATATATAAACATTGAAAACTATAAACTAACTAAAAATATATTAACAAAGTAGATTATAAATAATATTTTTTATCTATAAATAAAATAAAATTATTTATTTATATTATGTCGGTTTGGTTTGGGTTCGATTTGACTTTTTTTCTTTGAATATCAAACCAAATCAAATCAAGAGTGATCGTTTTTTTTTCCAACGCCAAACCAAACCACAAATCATTTTTTTCGGTTTGATTTGGTTCGTCGGTTCGATTTGACTTGTACACCCCTAGGAAGATGTACGTAAAATGTACAGAAAATATGTGAAGAATGTATACAAAAATGTGAAAAAAATAGACAATATATGAAAAAATGTAGAGAAAAAAATAATATATATATATATATATATATATAAAATGTAAAAAGTAAATAAATAAATAAAAGGAAAATATATATTAATAAATATAAAACCAATGTATGAATGAATGTAAAAAAAACAAGACATAAATAAATATAAACACGATGTATATAAATAAAAGTAAAGGCAATGCATAAATGTATATAAAAACAAATGCATGAGAAATGTAAAGTCAATGTATGAATAATGTAAATAAAAATGTATAAATAAATAAGCAAAGAGGAAAATGAGGCTAGTCTTGCTAGTCTTTCTATGAAAAGAAAACATATGAGAGTATAGAGAGAAGAAAAGAAATGTATGTGAGGTAGTGTGTAAGTGTCTGTTAAAAATGAGAGACCCCTCCTCCTTTTATAATACTATTAGTTTGTGAACACGTGTGTTGCATGTGTGTCTCAAGCAAATAGTATATACGATATAAGTTATATTAAAAACATAGTGTAATCAATAACGAAAAAAAGTACAAATTAAAATTATTGAATGTAACACTCATTCAATTTGAATGACTTCTTTGTTGAGCAATAAATGATTAATTACTATCGGAACTGCAAAATTGAATAACTATATTTAGTTAGATAGGTAAAATGTTTAAAATGAGTTACATTTTAATGTTATTAGGTGCAAATATTTTGTCTATAACGAAGTATTAGTTTTAAATATTCACACATAATAACATTAAGTATTAAGTTTCGTGATATAATATTAGGATAATAAATTGTGATACTCATACCAAATAGTAAAACACTAATCTGAAATATTTAAACAAAAAACTTGATATGATATTTAAAATATTTAAAACTTCTTGTTAAAATTTACATAATGCAAATAATATATGATTATTAAGAATTTAAAAGTACTTATTATAATCTTAAATCTTAACAATTGTGCATGGAAACAAAAGCCCCCAAACAAAAGAAATTCCAATACATGTGAAATCAAAGTATTGTAATTCTATATAACCAAATATGCCATGCATACACAAAAATAATTATTGAGTTCTTTTCAAGTAATATTCGAGTTAAAGTTGAATATTGCAATGATCATAAAAGGTTATAGCCAGTAATGATCAACAGGAAGAGGAGCATCAATCAACACCTTCAACTAACACCACTTCTTTAGATGAAATAACTATTTTGTAGAAAGTATATTATTTTTGCATCTTAAAGAATTGTAATAAAATTATACTGTAAGAATGAATTCATTAATGTCAACTATGATCAGCCTTCCAGAGAAATCAACCCATCCACGATCGAAGATTCTCGCTAGATCTGCTACCCCAAAACACATTGTAATACTGATAGTTGAAAGGGTGGAGAGATGGTGATTTTCATCATGATTTCTTGAAAGATTATATTATAGCTGATAATTCAAGAGTACTAAAAATTGAATATGACAGCTAAAGAGGAGATGGGAAATTAGTAAACTCCTTTAGCCTTTATATAATGTTTTTTCCCAGCCCTTTGAAATTTCCTTTCATTTATTACTAATGAATTAATTTACTAATTAATATTCAATTCAACTTTTCAACTTCTTTGTACTTACGGTAGCAATGAAAGGTTGGCCATTGGTTAATGTAACAATTAAATAATTGAACCACCAACGTTTCATATAAAGTTATGGTTATTATAATTATTAAATGCAAACATTTTCATTTTATTGTATGAAATGTGTGTATTTATATTTTTATGTTATAAACTTTTTGAAATAATAGTTGCTTGAAGTTTAAAATGATGTTTAACGTTTAATAGGTGATTTGGTAATTCAATTTTTCATTTGGAAGGTTTCTACTTGATATAATATGATAAAGCTCAACATTTTTGTCACGACCCATACCGTCGTTATTGACACCCACACTAACTCTCCGATGGGAGAACCACTACTACAACCCAAACCAAGCAACTAAACCAAAACTAAGGCATTTAAGTCAAACACTAAAGAAATAAATAGGGAGTTCCCATAAACTCCAACAACCGTCTAACAATAATAGCTAATAATGCGGAAGAATAACCTAGAACCTGAAAGTCAATGTACCACAACATTCTAACAATGAACCACGTCTAAACAAGAAGGGATACAACCCCAACTAATGAACTAATCAACTAGCTAAAACAAATGTCTAAGTCCGAAAATGGTGGACATAGACGAAAGAGAATCCCATGGTAGCCCGGAAGAATTGGCTCACCTTTGAATTCGAATCAACGATCACTGATTTTCTAAGCGAGGTCTGTCAATAGCCGCTTTAAGATGCCCTGTACTCAAAAAAAATAAGAGCAAGTGCAGAATCAGTACACAACCACAATGTACTGGTACGATCATGCAGCTATCCCACTAGTGCAACATAAACAAATCAAACAACATTATAATCACATGTATATCCACATATATAACATTATCAACATTTATGAAGAATGAACAACTTCACATTTTATGTCAAATCATTGGTCCTCTCGTGGAACCCAAACCCAAACAGTTAGCATGCCGGAATGTGGCAACTGATCCCATTTTTATGCCGGAAAGTGGCAACCGATCCCATAGTTATGCTGGAACGTGGCAACTGATCCAAGTTAGTTATGTCGGAACGTGGCAACCGATCCCATTCACACACCACAATCACAATCACAAGTATATCAT